AAAAAGAATAAATAAATAAATAAATAAATAAATAAATACAAGAACAAAAAAACAAACAAATAACATGTTGTTTTAGGTGTCGTTTCAGGTATAGACGTGTCATGTCTCTCCAAGCCAATCTGTCCAACTTCATAGTCAAACACTCTGCCAGCCCTCTGCCCCCTGTCCATTTTGTCATCTGTTGTTTGGTCTCTTGATCGCCATCTGTCTCCTTTTCTTCTACTCCTCTTGTCAGCTTTGTTTTCGGCACTTGATCGTATTTCGTTAAACGCCCAAACAAGTTAACCGTCTTGACTGTTTTCAAGAATTCACTCTAAATTCAAAGTATAATTAGTTCTTTATCGTTCTACGTTCTGTTTTCTAACCAATCTTTGCCATCTTCCTGCAGGCCTCGTGGATTGTTCGTCCATGTCCAAATCCAGTTCCTTATGTAGAGTTCTCTCCTTCAAATCATATCGTGTTTTATGCTCAAGGCCTCAAGTTTATCGTGCTGGTTGCTGACGTGCCTTCAATGGCACCTTACCCCGCTTACGCCATTGTCGCTATTTTCCCTAGAAATCCCGAAACTTCAATGTGACCATTTTGTTGTCGACAAGCTGTTCAGATACATTAAACCCAGAAAACAACATTCATTTACAGGAGAGAGAAAGAACAATTTTATTATTTTAACAGGTGTACCCACATAATGTCTTTTATTTAGATTGTACATTTTGATAAAATAAATGTTCCTTAAGCACATGCAACAAATATCACAGTTTAGGAACAGAAACGAAAAAAAGTCAAAATTTTGGAGTTAATACATCTGAACACCTGGCCGACGCTGTTATCTTCTAAGCTTCAATCAAGTTTTCAAAAGACTAAACCACCCCTAACCGCTAAGTAATTCGAATCAATTTTAGGATGGTGACCAGTTCAAAACCCTCATCACGCCACAAATGTTTCTGTGACATGCACATTTAACGGTCCATTTCATACTAAAGATATAACATTATTCAGTAGTCATGTTTTTTTTCCTCTTAAAGTTGAAATACTTTCTTTTACAGTTCTGGGAGACAGTAAGTGACGAGCATGGAATTGACCCAACAGGAACATTCCGAGGAGAGTCAGATCTCCAGTTGGAACGTATCAACGTCTACTATAATGAGGCCACTGGTCAGTTGCCTTGTGATACACAGTTATGTTCACACGCTGGGATTTCGAATGAACCCCCC